GTGCATTGGGGTTCTGGGGAGAAAAAAGAATTTGTCCGGGAGGAAAAAAGGGGAATGTTGAGAAAGTTTTACCAACGCTCTTAATGGGGGTGAAGCGTGGGTGATAAATGTTGCGCGAGGAAAAGGCTGGAGCAGTGGGTTTCTGTCTGAGGGCAATGTGTGGTGTGAATATAAGCAGAGAATTCTAGTTTTAAATTAGGGGGAGGTGCGGGATTACCCAAAAATGTTGTCCCCAGGGCTGAGGAAAGGGGTTGTTGAGGTGGTTCGGACATTTTGAGAGAATGGAGCGAAACAGAAGAAATTTTAAGAGTGTATCATCTGTATGGGAAAGGGAAAGGGGGGGTAGGGTCGGCCTAGGAAGGGGGGGGGAGGGGGAAAGGAGGGTTTTTTTTTGCGAGGGGCTTTGGGCTTCCAGCAGGCAATCTTTGGGTGTTTGATAGGGGTGAAAGGGGAAAAAAGGTTTTTAATACTTGACGTCTGTTTTGGGTGTGAGCAAAGTAAAATTTTTGAAGGGGTTTAGGGAACCGCGGGGACTTGAGTCCTAGATGGGAATACAGTCCTGCATCTGAAGGGGGGTGTTAAAGTTTTAGTTTTAAAAACTGTAGTGTAAAGCACCTTCTCGCAAGACAGTGATGGGGCGAAAAGATGGGGAAGTTTTTCTTTTTGGGGCCACCCTGCCTTGGTGGGAATCGGCCAGTGTGATAATAAAAATATAATATTATATATATATATATATATATATATATATATTATATTATATATATATTATATATTATATATATATATATATGTTATATATGCAAGGAATTCGCAAGAGTGGCGAAATATACACAATCAACTGATCTCTGGCCGAAGGAGACTCGAATTCCTTGCATTGTTAAAATCTCTAGTAAGGCTGATCAATGCAAAGGATGAGATGAAAAGCTGTAAGCCTTCTCCCTGAAAGCTGGCTGCCTTGGAGCAAACGTCTAGCGCAAGCTGGACGCCAAGGTATTGGTCCAGTGTGGTGAGAATGGTAAAGCACTGCGTACCTAGTTCCAAGGTTCGTAGTCTCGAGTCTCCTTCGGCCAGAGATTAGTGTATACAAATATATATATTTATATATATATATATATATATATATATATATATATATATATATTATATATATATACATATATATATACATATAATATATATATATATATATATTATATATATATAATATATATATATATATATATATTATATATATATATATATATAATATATATATATATATATATATGCAAAACAACCACTCTGAATTAATAGAGAAATTCCAAGCGCTTTCGTGACTACTCAATTATCAAGGAACTATGAAAGTAAAGCATCAAGGAAGCTATATAAGGGGTCTGGCCGGCACCTCACTATCAGATCCCAACAACGGTTTAAACACCTGACGCGCGCCGACCCAACTTGGATAGGTCCTTGGCACAACTCACCCCACAAACTATTCTACCAAGAAATAAGAAATTTTAAAGATTATTTGTCCAGTGTATTATTAAATTCTTCCCAAATTCTATTAATTATAAATGGATCTAATTTATATAAACCAAAGGAAATATTCTATTATTGTCAAAACTGCTTTTTATGAAACAAGATTCAATTATATTCCTGTCGACCATGGACTTGCTTGATACTACTTTCTCAACTTTTTGAAAATCAATTGGATGGTTAAAATCTCTTACATGAATAAATAGAGCATTGGAATCTTGTCCAGTTCTAATGCTATATATATGTTGTTTTAATCTTAGTTCGAGATTTTTATCAGTTTGACCGTAATAAACTTTATCGCAAATTTTACAAGGAATTTATAGACACATCCATCAGCATTTTGGGGGGAATTCTTTATCAAAAGTTTTTTTACTGTATCAAGATTTTTGAATACAACTTTAATATTAAAAGTCTTAAGAAATGAAGGCATATCAACCAAGTTTTCATGGTAAGGGAGAACCAACATATTTTTAGTTGAATAAGGCTGGTTGTCCCTTTTTGGATTGTAAAAAGTATTTCTAGCAACTTTAAAAGATTTGTCAATTACATTTCTTGGGTATTTTAAATCATTACCTATTTCATAAATTTTGGATATTTCCTCATCTATGAACTCAGGACTACAAATTCGTAAAGCTCTCAAAAACATTGATGAGAAAACAGACAGTTTGACTCTATCTTGATGCGAGGAATAATAGTGGACATAGGAACAGTTATTTGTAGGTTTTCTGTAAATTTTAAATTTGAATTCGTTATTACCCTTAATAATTAAAACATCTAGAAAAGGCAATGAGTTATTTTCTTCAAACTCAACAGTAAAGTTTATAGAATGGGCTAAGCTATTTAATTTTCCTAGGAAATGGTGTATATCTACATTTTTGGGCATAAGACACAAAATATCATCAACATATCTGAACCATTTAGCTCTATTAGGGAGGATTGTGTTAAGTAACCTTGTTTCAAAAAAATCCATCTAAAGGTTACTAAGAACAGGTGAAAGAGGATTTCCCATTGCCATACCAAACTTCTGAGTGTAAAACTTATCATTAAATACAAATTTTGCATCAACAATGCAAAGTTTAATAAGTTTAATGATAGTAGAAACTGGCAATGGTAAATCATAGTTAACGAGTTCTTCAGATAAGAAACTTAATAAATCATCAACAGGAACTTTCGTAAACAAGGAAGTAACATCAAAACTAACCATGTTAAAATCATTTAAGTCAGTCAAGGAGTTTAATTTATCAACCAAGTCTATGTTGTTTTTAACATTAAAGTTAGAAATTTTGCCAACAATAGGGCTCAAAATATCAACAGCAATTTCAATAAAACAATAAAACTTCTACTGAAAGGCAAAGATGAATTAGTCAAACAATTTACTTCCACTAATCCATCTTTGCCTTACATGTATGGACTAATAAAAACACACAAACCAGGGAATCCAGTCAGACCAATTATTAGCTCCATAGGGTCAGTTTCATATAAATTATCCAAATGGCTTGTTGATATTTTGAGCCCTATTGTTGGCAAAATTTCTAACTTTAATGTTAAAAACAACATAGACTTGGTTGATAAATTAAGCTCCTTGACTGACTTAAATGATTTTAACATGGTTAGTTTTGATGTTACTTCCTTGTTACGAAAGTTCCTGTTGATGATTTATTAAGTTTCTTATCTGAAGAACTCGTTAACTATGATTTACCATTGCCAGTTTCTACTATCATTAAACTTATTAAACTTTGCATTGTTGATGCAAAATTTGTTATTTAATGATAAGTTTTACATCAGAAGTTTGGTATGGCAATGGGAAATCCTCTTTCACCTGTTCTTAGTAACCTATACATGGAATTTTTTGAAACAAGGTTACTTAACACAATCCTCCCTAATAGAGCTAAATGGTTCAGATTGTTGATGATATTTTGGTGTCTTATGCCCAAAAAATGTAGATATACACCATTTCCTAGGAAAATTAAATAGCTTAGCCCATTCTATAAACTTTACTGTTGAGTTTGAAGAAAATAACTCATTGCCTTTTCTAGATTGTTTTAATTATTAAGGGTAATAACGAATTCAAATTTAAAATTTACAGAAAACCTACAAATAACTGTTCCTATGTCCACTATTATTCCTCGCATCAAGATAGAGTCAAACTGTCTGTTTTCTCATCAATGTTTTTGAGAGCTTTACGAATTTGTAGTCCTGAGTTCATAGATGAGGAAATATCCAAAATTTATGAAATAGGTAATGATTTAAAATACCAAGAAATGTAATTGACAAATCTTTTAAAGTTGCTAGAAATACTTTTTACAATCCAAAAAAGGGACACACCAGCCTTATTCAACTAAAAATATGTTGGTTCTCCCTTACCATGAAAACTTGGTTGATATGCCTTCTCTTCTTAAGACTTTTAATATTAAGTTGTATTCAAAAATCTTGATACAGTAAAAAAACTTTTGATAAAGAATTCCCCCAAAATGCTGATGGATGTGTTCTATAAGATTCCTCATAAATTTGCGATAAAGTTTATTACGGTTCAACTGGTAAAAATCTCGAACTAAGATTTAAAACAACATAATATAGCATTAGAACTGGACAAGATTCCAATGCTCTATTTATTCATGTAAGAGATTTTAACCAATCCAATTGATTTTTCAAAAAGTTGAGAAGTAGTATCAAGCAAAGTCCATGGTCGACAGGATATATAATTGAATCTTGTTTCATAAAAAGCAGTTTTGACAATAATATGAATATTTCCTTTGGTTTATATAAAATTAGATCCATTTATAATTAATAGAATTTGGGAAGAATTTAATAATACACTGGACAATAATCTTTAAAATTTCTTATTTCTTGGGTAGAATAGTTTGTGGGGTGAGTTGTGCCAAGGACCTATCCAAGTTGGGTCGGCGCGCGTCAGGTGTTTTAAACCGTTGTGGGATCTGATAGTGAGGTGCCGGCCAGACCCCTTATATAGCTTCCTTGGATGCTTTACTTTCATAGTTCCTTGATTAATGTGAGTAGTCACGAAAGCGCTTGGAATTTCTCTATTCTTTCAGAGTGGTTGTTTTGCATATTCTGAAATCACCTGTTTACTGTGATCTTATTGCATATATATATATTTATATATATATATATATTATATATATATATATATATATATATATATATTATATATTATATATATATATTATATATATATATATATTATATATATATTATATATATAGTAATATTATATAATATATATATGTGTCGTGCCGAATAGGTATAACTTGTTGATTTTGGCCTAAATAGCAACGCTCTTCTTGCTGAAATTGTGAAGTAAAAATTTGTGTATGCAATAATTTCCCAAAATCATTCTGAAACTATCGAAAAAACATATTTCATTGTGTTTATTATTAAACTACTTGCTAAGTGGCCAGTTTTACTTATTCGGCACGACATGCATATATACATACATAAATGTGTATATATACATATGTACTTACCAAGCTTTATATCCTTGGGATTTCAAGATCTTCTGGGCACAAGTAACGGCAGTTCCAAGATTATCGCTCAAAAGATCTGTAAAAAGAACACCAGGTCACCCACCAGGTCACTTAACAGGCCACGTACCAGGTCACGTAACAGGTTACGTACATGTTCTTGCACGTACATTCCAGAAAACTCACGTCATGTAATCCATTTAATTGTACAATGTCAGTAATGAAAATATATGTCAGAGAATCTCTATGTCACTATGTATAGGCAATAACGAGCTCTAATTAGATAATAATGAACACTAAGAAAGTAATTCTAGACCTAAATTATCATATACCTGTAGCAGATTTTGGTGATTCTCTGAAGGTCTGGAAGAGCTACAGGTGTGTAAATGATAGTATCTCAGGTATGTACATGGTTGAATCTCAGGTGTGTACATGGTTGAATCTCAGGTGTGTACATGGTTGAATCTCAGGTGTATACATGGCTGAATCTCAGGTGTGTACATAGTTGAATCTCAGGTGTGTACATGGATAAACCATACCCCGGCCGGGATTGAACCCGCGGTCAGAGAGTCTCAAAACTCCAGCCCGTCGCGTTAGCCACTAGACCAGCTAGCAACAACAAGATTCGTCCAACTAGGTATATTTCTACACCATAGGAAGGTTAGCACAGACACCACTGTGACCAGAGTGAGCTAGAGTTCGTCACGGCCACGCTAGCTGGAGATTCGTCTGTAAAAACTTGCATTTGTGGTCACAGTGGTGCCTGTGCTAACCTTCCTATGGTGTAGAAATATACCTAGTTGGACGAATCTTATTGTGGCTAGCTGGTCTAGTGGCTAACGCGACGGGCTGGAGTTTTGAGACTCTCTGACCGCGGGTTCAATCCCGGCCGGGTATGGTTTGTTTGCAATCGTGTCATTACGATTTCGTGAGTCGTGTACATGGATATCTCTCAGGGTGATGGACTGATTACATCGTCTTTGATTAGTTAGACACATGTGCAACCCTTGGGTATCTTTACTAAGGAAACTTTTCGCCACAATGTAGCTTCATTAGTCCAACAAAGGAAAACTGTGAAGAACAGGAGGAGTTTAAGGAAATCAGTCCCTCAGCCTTGAGTCGACATAATCAGTTCATCAGTCTTGAGAAGAATTCAGAATATGTGCGAAGAAGTGACTTATATACTGTAGACAGGTGAGGTACAGCAGTTGTAGGTGGTGTCACAATTGGCAAATCCAAATGTGGAAGTAGGTCATGAGCAAGGGTTAGGCAAGTGAAGAATTCCTTGTATAAAGATCCCAAGATGTTGTTGTGTCTGACAGGAATGTAGATAAATGATTCAGAGAACCGACAAGTTGATATCATCTTGTCCGTTCTCTGAACCATTTACCTACACATCATATTTACATCTCTACCGCTTCTGCTGACTCCTCTGTACTCGACTGAAGAAGCCTACTGTGCAGAACACACATTTCGGAATAACGATACCTAAAATTTGCACATGTGGGCTCAATAACCCCTTTTCGTTTTTTGTTTTCCCTTTTTATATTCATTAGCTCCCCGTTTTCCCCTGTACTCTCTGTAGTACGCTCATGAATCCATGTACTCTGTGTAATTCGTGTACTCACCTTTTTCCCCTGTAACCCCCAGGAATTTGATTTTCCTTTGGTAAACATCATGACAACCAAATACATGCGTTTATTGGAAGATACCGTAGGCCCCTTTCTACCGTTCTTGTTGCGGTTGAGTGCAGTTGTTGAAAACCCGGGTCGGGATTGGGGCGAGCAAAAAACGTTGTGGAGTGATGGTGGAGTGTTGGGGGTGGGGGATGGTGGAGGGTTGTGGCAGTGATGGTGGGCGTTGTGGCGGTGATTGGGGGAGTGGGGTTTTGGGGTATGGTGGAGTGGGTTTTGGCAGTGATGGTGGAGTGTTGGGGGTTTGGGGATGGTGGAGTGTTTTTGGGAGTGTTTGGGGGTGTGTTGTGGGTTTGGGGATGGTGGTGTGTAGTGGGGCCCGGGGGAGTGTTTGTGATGGTAAAGGTTTTGTCGTGGGGGTGATGGTGGGGTGTTGTGGTGGGATGGTTTGGGGTGTTGTGGCAGTGATGGTTGGGGGTGTTGTGGCGGTGATGGGGAGTGTTGGGGCGGTGATGGTGGAGTTTGTTGGCCCGTGATGGTGGGTGTTGTGGCGGTGATGGTTGGGGTGTTGTGGGTGATGGTTTAAGTGTTTTTGGCAGTGATGGTTTGGGGTGTTTTTGGCGGGGATGGTGGAGTGTTGTGGTGGTGATGGTGGAGTGTTTTTGGCAAAGGGGTGGGGAGTGTTGTGGGGGTTTATGGTGGAAGGTTTGGTGGTGATGGTTGGGGTTTTTGTGGGGGGGGATGGTGAAGTTTTGTGGCGGTGATGGTGGGGTGTTGTGGTGGTGATGGTGGAGTTGGGTTTTGGCGGTGATGGTGGAGTTTGTGGGGGGGATGGTGGAGTGATGGGGGTGATGGTTTGGGGTGTTTGTGGCGGTGATGGGAAATGTTGTGGCGGTTTATGGGGAGTGGGTTTTGGTGGGATGGGGAGTTTTTGTGGCGGTAGGGGGGAGTGTTTTTTGGGGGTGATGGGGGAGTGAGTGGTGGTGATGGGGAAGTGTTGTGGCGGTGTGGTGGAGTGGTGTGGGGGGGATGGTGGATGTTTTTGGCGGTGAGGTGGAGTGTTGGGGGTGGGGAAGGTTTGGGGGGTTGTGGGGGTGGGTGGTGGAGTGTTTGGGGGGTTTATGGTGGAATTCGTGGTGGTGATGGGGGATGTTTTCGGGGGGATGGGGAAATGTTGTGGGGGGTGATGGTGGAGTGTTGGGGGGGGGATGGTGGTGTGTAGGGGTTTGGGGGAGGTTGTGATGGTAATGGGGTGTCGTGGTGGTGATGGTTTGGGGTGTTGGGGGCGGGGATGATTGAGTGTTGGGGGGTGGTGATGGGGGAGTGTTTTTGGGGGGAAAGGTTGGGGGTGTTGTGGGGGTCATGGTGGTATGTTTTGATGGTGGTGTGTTGTGATGGTAATGGTGTTTCGTGGTGGTGATGGGGGAGTGTTGTGGCAGGATGGTGGGTGTTGTGGTGGTTGGGCGGTGGTGTGTTTGGGGGTGGTGATGGTGGGGTGTTGTGTTGGTGATGGGGGTGGGGTAGTGATGGTGGGGTGTTGTGGCGGGGATGGTTTTGGGGTTTGCGGGGGGTGATGGTGGAGTGTTGTGGTGTGATGGTGGAGTGATTGGGGGTTATGGTGGTGAGTATGATGGTAATGGGGTGTCGTGGGGGTGATGGTGGGGGTGGGTGTCGGGTTTAAAGGTTTTAGTGTTTGGGGGTGGTGATGGGGGGTGTGTATGATGGGAATGGTGTGTCGTGGTGTTTTGGTTTGGGGTGTTTGTGATGGTGGTGTGTTGTGTTGGGAAAAGGGGGTGTGTTTGGGGGTGATGGTGGAGTGTTGTGTCGGTGATGGTGGAGTGTTATTGGGAAATGTGGTGGAAATGTTTTTTGGCAGTGTTGGGGGAGTGTTGTGGTGGGGTTTGGGGGAGTGTTGGGGGGGGGGATGGTGGAGTGTTGTGTTGGGGGGATGGGGGAGTGTTGTGGGGGATGGTATGTTTATGATGGTAATGGTGTGTCCCCCGGGGGTGATGGTGGTGTGTTTTTGTGATGGGTTTTGGGGTTTTTGATGGGGGAAATGGGGTTTGTGGGGGTGGTGGGGGAGGGGTTTGTCGGTGATGGGGGAGTGTTGTGGTGGGGATGGTGGGTTTTGTTTGTGTTGGGGGATGGTTGGGGTTTTTGTGTCGGTTTTTGGGGAGGGGTTGTGGTGGGGATGGTGGTGTGTTGTGGTGGATGGGGGGTGTTTGTGTCCCGGATGGTTTGGGGGGTTTTTGGTGGTGAAAGTGGAGTGTTTTTGTTGGTGATGGGGGAGTGTTGGGGGGGTGGGATGGTGGGGTGGGTTTTGGGTGGTAATGATTTTGTCGTGGTGGTGATAAAGGTGTGTTGTGGGGATGATGGTGGTGTTTTTTGGTGGCAAAGGAGGGTGTTTTGGTGGGGAAGGGGGTTGTTTTTTGGTTGGGGATGTTGTTGTGGGTTTCGGGGTATGGTGTTGTTATGGTGGGGATGGTAGGGGTATGTGGTGGTGATGGGGGTGGGTGTGTTTGGGGGATGGTGGTATGTTTGGGGGGTGATGGTGGTGTGTGGGGGATGGTGATGGTGTTGTGTTGTGGGGGGATGGTGTTTTTGTTGCGTTGGGGATGGGGTTGATATGGTTGGGGATTTGGGGGGTGTATTGGGGGTTGGTGTTTTGGGTTTTGGTGGTGGATGGTGGGGTGGTGGTGATTTGGGGGTGCCAAATTTTGGGGGCCATGGTGGTGTTTGTGGTGGTGATGGTGGTTTTGTGTGATAGTAATGGTGTGTTGGTGGGGATGGGGTGTTTTTGATGGTTATTGGGGGTGTGTTGTGATGGTGTTTGGGGGTGGGGGTTGTGGGTGGTGTGTTTTTTGGTGGTAATGGTGGTGTGTTGTGGTGGTGATAGTGGTGTGTTGTGGTGGTGTGGTGGTGTGTTATGGTGGTGACGGTGGGGTGTTGTGGTGGTGATGGGGGGTGTGTTGTGGGTGGTGATGGGGGTGTGTTGGGGGGGGTGACCGGTTTTGTTGTGGTGGTGATGGTTTATGTGTTGTGGTGGGGGGGGGTGGGGTTTGGGGTTTGGGGATGGAAGGGGGTTTTTGGTGGGGTTTGGTGGTGTGTTGTGGGGGTAATTTGGGTATTTTTGGTGGGGATGGGGGGTGTTGCCCGGGGGGTTTTTGGGGGTTTTGTTGTGGTGGTGTGGGGGTGGTTATGGGGAGGGTGGGGTGTGTATGTGGGTGGGTGGTGTGTTTGGTGGTGATGGTGGGGGGGGGGGGGGTTTGGGGTTTGTGGTGGGGATGGTGATTGTTGTGGTGGTATGGGGATTTTTGTGGTGGTGATGGTGTGTTTTGGGGGTATGGGGGGAGTGTTGTGGGGTGAAAGGGGGGTTTTTGGGGGGGGTTTGGGGGGGTTTTGTGGGTTTGGTGGGGGGGTTTGGGGGGGTGGGGTGTTTTGTGTG